CCTCTCTTAAACTCACCCTTATTTGTTTAGAACAGAAACCCCAAAGAACTCACATTTCTATGCATGTAAAAAACACAAATTTCGTTATTTTTTCAAACCATGTCTTAAAAGATACAGCCGATATGGTCAAAAATTCTAAACCAAATATTTGCTAGCTATCAGAAAAGCACATACTTATAAAATGTGGTAATTGACACACAGAGGGTTAAAGGTGGTAATGGTGCGGTGGGAGTTAAATGGAGTGGTGGGTGTCCGGGGGGGTGGGGGCACTCACATTAACACCGGCACACCAACACTGACACACTCAGGTGCTGCGGGCGCATTAGCCCAAAGCAGAAAGCAAAGTGCAGTGCACAGTGAAAAGAGGAGAGGAAACAGAGAGAAGAGAGGAAAGGAGATGAGATGATTGCGGTGAAAAGAGGGGGGAGGGGGGTGGTCGAGGTCGAACGGATGTCCGGTCCCCATTGATTGGTTGGATACCCCCCTCTTATAGAGGGGTTAATCTGCATAATTTTAAATTCGTGTTGGTAAACTACAAAGTATGGAAAGAACGAACTTTTTCTTTCAAAGTTCAAAGTTTAATGTACTTTATTGCTTTGAAAGTTATAACCAAATCTGTAATATTGTTAAAAAAAACTATGATCAGTAATTGCTCAAGTGGATATCTCAAAAAATAAGGTAAAAATCAACTTTTTAAGCAATTTTATTTAAAAGTTGTGGAACTTTCGAAATGATCTCTTCGTTTTTTCTGCGAATGCAACCCTGCTTTCGTTAACCCTCGCTTAATCCATTGCCCTGCTCCTAGTTCTTCTTCTTCTTGTTCTCTCTATACCAAATATCGCCATCCCTTTTCCTGCGCAATCGTGAAGCTTGCCAAAATCAAAGCAATTGGCAGGGCCGCCCTTCCACCCACCGCCCCCAGCCCCCGCCCCTTTTTGAACCACCCATCCACCATCAACAGCTGCAGCAGACGAATGAATGTGCATAAAAGGCAGCCAACTAAATTGTGCATCGGTGTTGGTATTTCCCTCTATGTATGCACAATACATATGTATATGTATGTATTTATGTATTTTGTGTGCAAAACTTGGTAAGCACTTTTCTTTTTCTTATTTGTATTTTTGCCTTTTCGTATTTGCATAGACTGCAACTGCAACTGCAGGCGAAAACAACAACAATCGAAGCGAGAGAACCAGAAAATGATAAGCAAAAGATGGGGATACTGATAATGCAGGCAGGAACCCCCTTCCCCCTCCTTCAGACAAGCAAAAACAACAACGAAATGCCACAAAAACAACCGCAAAAAACTTGCTGGTGAAAAGTTGTATTAAAGCAACGCTTAACCCACTATTTACCAAGCGAAATTTGCGATAAACAATTTGAAAACATATGTACAAAAATATAAAAATATCAAGTTTTTCTTATCTGTATATACTGTATTTCTATTTTCAATGCTAGTAATTTTTAGCTTATGTTGTTTTAGGATTAGAGATATGCGGCTCTGGAATTGTTTACAAGTTTCTTATTTTTTTTTGTGTTATTTAAAGTCAAACTAGAAAAAACACCTGTAATTCCTCTTAGAGTTTTAGATTGTACCACCCTTCTTTTCCACAGGTGTGACTTTACCACCCCATTGGTAAAATTGTGTTACCATTGTCTAACCTCTCTTAAACTCACCCTTATTTGTTTAGAACAGAAACCCCAAAGAACTCACATTTCTATGCATGTAAAAAACACAAATTTCGTTATTTTTTCAAACCATGTCTTAAAAGATACAGCCGATATGGTCAAAAATTCTAAACCAAATATTTGCTAGCTATCAGAAAAGCACATACTTATAAAATGTGGTAATTGACACACAGAGGGTTAAAGGTGGTAATGGTGCGGTGGGAGTTAAATGGAGTGGTGGGTGTCCGGGGGGGTGGGGGCACTCACATTAACACCGGCACACCAACACTGACACACTCAGGTGCTGCGGGCGCATTAGCCCAAAGCAGAAAGCAAAGTGCAGTGCACAGTGAAAAGAGGAGAGGAAACAGAGAGAAGAGAGGAAAGGAGATGAGATGATTGCGGTGAAAAGAGGGGGAGGGGGGGTGGTCGAGGTCGAACGGATGTCCGGTCCCCATTGATTGGTTGGATACCCCCCTCTTATAGAGGGGTTAATCTGCATAATTTTAAATTCGTGTTGGTAAACTACAAAGTATGGAAAGAACGAACTTTTTCTTTCAAAGTTCAAAGTTTAATGTACTTTATTGCTTTGAAAGTTATAACCAAATCTGTAATATTGTTAAAAAAAACTATGATCAGTAATTGCTCAAGTGGATATCTCAAAAAATAAGGTAAAAATCAACTTTTTAAGCAATTTTATTTAAAAGTTGTGGAACTTTCGAAATGATCTCTTCGTTTTTTCTGCGAATGCAACCCTGCTTTCGTTAACCCTCGCTTAATCCATTGCCCTGCTCCTAGTTCTTCTTCTTCTTGTTCTCTCTATACCAAATATCGCCATCCCTTTTCCTGCGCAATCGTGAAGCTTGCCAAAATCAAAGCAATTGGCAGGGCCGCCCTTCCACCCACCGCCCCCAGCCCCCGCCCCTTTTTGAACCACCCATCCACCATTTTCCATTTTCCATTGATGGTTAAGCGAACGGTCTACATATACATACATACATACGGACCAACGCACACATGCAGGCACATGTTTAGTCGTGTTTACATAGCAAAGCGCGCACGAAACGGGGCCTTTCGTAACGCTCGCTTCTCACGCTGTCTCCCTCTTTCTCCCCCCACCCACCACTCGCTCACTCACTCACTCTCTCTCTCTCTGTCTCTCTCTCACATCGATGACGACTGACGACGTCGAATGCGTATGCCCACCACTACAAATGCACATTTCGCACACTCAAACCGTTGCATATATGTATGTACATACATATATACCCCATTATTAGAAGGGGGTTTACATAAGCCGTAGGGGGACAAAAAAAAACCCAAACAAAATCGACAAAAATAACTTACGGGAAAGACCCACACACACTCACACTCACGCACAGCTGACTAATTAGCAAAGCAAAACACCCAAAATCAAAACCCACACTCAAAATTTAGAGAGATGCTACGGAGAACGGAAAGAAGGTACGGGTACGAAAGACACGCACCGGGGAGTTGGTCATATCATACATACTGAAAAAAGCCCGGGAGACACCTGAAACCAAAGCTGAGAGACCCATAAACAGAATTCCCAGCAATTAATACCTCTACTGTTGATATTCGACATTTGTATACCCTTGGTAGAGTGGTGTTATAAGCAAACTAAAGTTGGTTCGTATACAACTTTATTTTTAGAAGCAACACAAAATATTTAATATTTTGGTACGACTGTACTTTTGGTATTTAAAAAATATACTGTTCTTAGTTCGAAATGGTTATTAAACGCTTTGAAGCTACTGTAATTTCGAAATTATTATATCATAACCCTTGACGAATATCACAAAACACATGTTTTTTGATCTGACTGTACATCTCGGGACCTGTTTTTAACTGCCAGTTAACTTTTTAGCCTCGTGTGATGGCGGCACAATGGAATTCGACTTGGACTCTTGGACCCCCGGCTAATTAAATTTTTGGGTAAATGTTTAGAGTCGGGGCCCGACCTTTCGGAGCTGCGCAGCTGATACTTCGTGTCCGTGTGTTCGTGTGGTCGTGTGTTCGTGCTCGTGCTGGAACGGGGCCTGTCTTAAATGCCGCAGAGCGCGCGAATACCGAAAACTTCTTGCATTCGACGGTGCGAAAGGGACGGGAAGAGGAAGCGGGAGCGAGTGGGAAAGGGAGAGGTAGCCATCGAATGCTAAGCAGGGGCCTTTGCTGCCTGCCAAAAATAGAGACGCCCCCGCCGCCACGCCTCCGCCCACAAAGAGCACCCACCCACCAAACCACCCACACAACATCATCATCACACCACCAATACCAAAACCAATACCAATACTGTGACCCAGCCAGTTCTCTGTGAACCTGTCTGTGTGTGCGGGTCTTGTACATAGCATAGCTTAAGCTTTCCTTGCACCGTGGTTAAAGTATGGTAAATAGCCAAGGCAAGGGGAAAGTTTTTCAACCTTCTATTGTACACACAAACCTAACACTTGGCCTAGAAACATAAAAGCAATCGAATTAAGAGGTAGTTAAAATACTAAAATGTGGCTTTTCTTAATTTTTACCACCTACTTTGAAAAAATTTTATGAGTAAGCCGCTATTTATTCCCAGAACTCTTGAAATACCAGATTGTTTTTCTCAGTACTCTTAAAAAGGTTTCGTTTCGGAAAAATTATACAAGATTACGGGAGTTCTTAAAATACATACATTATTTAGATCTAACCTTAGATATCAATCAAAGTTGGCTCAGAATCGAATGTTCAGAATACGTTGTTATTTTTCATGTAATGTTCATTCATTCTGTTATTGTACAGCATAGTGAACCTTGTGAAAATCTTGATAAAAAAAGATTCAACTATTATTACCCCAAAAAAAATTTGTGAAAAAATAGTTAAAAATTTTATTGATCCCGCGAATAATTAGTGTGTTGCATCACTTTCGAACCACGGTAAGTTGTAACGTGGCAGCGCCGTCGACGTCGGCGTCGCAACTTAGAGCTAGTCGAATGAGCGGAAGGAGAGAGAGAGAGGGCGGAGGAGAGGGAGAAAATGCACATGGCGCGTGGGGAAGGGGAGGGGGGAGATGGGGGCAAAAAGGGAACAGCCAACAACAAGAACAACAACAATTCGGCAAAATGTTCGTGGCAGCGTTGCAGCGACGCCGACTGCGCTGCCGGAGTGTATTTTTTTGTTGTGTTTTCCGTTCGTCGTATTTCGTGTTTTCCGTTTTTCTTTTGCGCTCTGCATCCGCTGCCGCGGTCGGCGTCGCTGCCCGCGCGCGCTAGTGTGCGTGTGCCGTGTCCGTGTGTGCCGCACACATTTTTCAGTTGACTTCGTTGAAATAATTTTCGTAACAACGATCACACTCGTTTGTGTATTGCGAAGACGGGCGGACGTACGTCGGCGTCGAAAGCGGAAAAAGCGCTAAAGCGAAATAGCGAAAAGCGAAGCACAGTGCGAATACCATAAACAACAAAAAGTCGAAAGAGAGAGAGAGCTAACAACTCGTTTTTTTTTCAATCGTCGCGACAACAAGAGGAATATAATTAACCAAAAACAAGCGAGAGAGAAAAGCAGCAACTAAATTTAACAACAAATGCATAAAATAGTTTTGTTTTTTTGCCCCACTGCAAAAATGCAGTCAGCGTTTGTTTGTGTAAGTGTATAATGTGTATAATACATATATGTAATGTATATATAAAAACAACAACAAATGTGTAAACGAAAAACAACAACAAATTAAAGTGCGCGCATTGGCGCACGCACACTTGGAAAACAGCTACAAAAAAGAGCACGTGCATGTGTGTGTGTGTGTGAGCCGGCCAGTGTGACCGTTTGTGTGCCAGAGAGAGAAGGAGCGAACAAGCCGGCTCGTAATTTTTTTGTTTAATGTTAAATTAAATATAAATAAATTAAACAGAAATCTCTCAAACCTGAATAAAAACCCAATAAATTACCCGTCTACCTTTAATATGTAAATAACGTCAAATATTGACAAAAAGACCGGGTTCAAAGCCCAGGCATGATTTTTTTTTTCGATAATTTTTGAAATTTTTTACATATTAAATGGAAATCTAGTGAAAAATCATAACGCATAAATTTCTCATTCTGTGCAATACACAGCTCCTGAATACAAACCAACTGTGAAAACCGATAAGCCGGGAAAAGCGGAAAAGCAGAAGAAAATCGACGAATAAGAAGAAGAGATACCAAGCAAAAGAGAGCGATGGCCAGCGAGGATGTGCAAATCACCAGCGTCATCGATGCCAATGGCCAGAGTTTACCGCTCCACGGCAACAGTTTGGGCGGTCCACTGGGGCCGCCGGTCAAGCAGGAGCGTCCCGACGACGCCGAGATCCGCGAGCTGGCCGCCAAGATGAAGGAGCAACAGAAGCAACAGGCCGCCCAGCAGGCATCCCGCCAAGCGGCCATGCAGCACTCGAACGGGGGCACTGCCTCCTCCGGCTCCTCCTCCTCCGCCGGTGGTGGTGGCAACATGCAGCCACCGATCACCAATGGCAATGGCCAGACGAACATCATGAGCTACCTGTCCCGCCACCAGAAGCTACCCAATGGCACCATGCAGGTGGTGCCCGCCTTGTCATCCAATGGTCAGCAACGCGCCAACGGCAATGACTCCTCCTCCGCCGCGGACAAGAAGTCCTCGGGTCCCTGCGACGAGGAGTCCATCATGGGCCACTTTGGCTGGGCCCAGTTCGGCAAGGTCTCGATCCCCTACATCTTCCGCCAGTCGGAGAAGTACTGCTCCGTGCGGATGATCGAACTGAAGCTGCTGGGCAAATATCTCAACTGCCTGCATCCGGACATCTACTCGAGTTGCACCTGCGTGCGCAGCTACTATATCACCGATGCCGAGGCTCGGCTCTTCATCGAGATCAATCACAAGCACTGCGACGGCGAGTTCGGACGCGATATCTTCAATCAAAAGGATCTGGTTGTGCGCCTGAGCGATGCCTCCAAGTTCTATCAGTTCTTGGACATTTGCTATCGCAAACTGGTGTCGGGCAGCAAGACGCCATCGGAGAAATGCGGCTTTATACGCATCAACAAGGAGTCCGTGGTGCCCTACACTGTGCGCAACAATCAGCAGGTTGTGCCGCTCTTCTACTTCGAGGGCGAGACGGAGAATCTGAAGACCAAGGCGGAGCTGCTCAACGGCTGGGATCTGGCCTACCTGAAGTTCTGCTGCAAGGTCCAGGGCATTCGCAACGAGCTCTTCTCCAGCGAAAATGTCGCTGTCATTTCGCTGACCGACATCAAGAGCTACTTCCCCAATGGCACCGAGTTCGAGGACTACTGGCCCAGCAAGGTGGTCGACTCGAATCTCCTGATCGGCAATCGTGCCAATGTCAATAACTCGGTCAACTGGACCCGCCAGCCGTCGGCGCCGCCGCCAAAGGTCACGAATACCGGCTCCGGATCTTCGAGTGGCGGATCCAACTCCTCCTCCTCGGGCGGCAACATGGGCCAGAACTCATCTTCGTCCTCATCTTCTGCCTCGAATTCAGCGGGCGGCGGCGGTGGCCAACAGGTGACCTCAAAGTCGCAACAGCAGCAGCAACATGCCTCCGCTGCTGCGGCAGCTGCCACGGCGGCGCAGCAGCAACACCTGATGAAGCAACGCGCCGCCGCAGCAGCAGCCGCTGCCGGCGCCAATGGGGTGGCCAATGCGGCCAATAGTTTTGGAGCAGCCGCCGTGGCTGCCTTCAATTCCCAGGCGGCGGCGGCCGCCTCGATGCTGCAGCAATCGCAGGCGGGCAACAACCGGATGCTGTCGCAGGCCACCGTCCAGGCCTTGGCCAGCAGCGGCTGGATGTCCGGGCAGAGCAACCTGCAGCTCCACGCCCAGATGATGGTAAGTAGTAGCAGTCAGCACTGGCTATCTACTAGATCTTAAAAATATCGATATTTTGTTACTTTCGTATCGATAATATCGATATTTTGAAGGGAAACATATCGATAATTAGCAAACTGTCAATATTATTTCAAGTTTTACTACCTACCCAACTAAAACCTACTTCCTATTTACTAGATCTTAAAAAAGTATCGATATGTTCGATATTTTGACCATATATATCCGATAATATCGATATTTTGAAGGGAAACATATCGAGAATTAGCAAACTGTCGATATTTTTTCAAGCTTTATTACCTACTTAACTAAACCCTATTTCCTATTTACTAGATCTTAAAAAATTATCGATATGTTCGATATTTTGACAACATCGTATGGAAAATATCAATGCCTTAAAGGGAAAACTTATTGATAAATATCCAACTGTCGATATATTTTCAAGTTCTACCACCTACCCAACAAAAACCTATTTCCTATATATAACCTACCTACAAATAACCCACTTGTCGTAACTTAAAGTTTGATCCAGATGATTATGAAGCCTCTTACTACTACATATACACTGATGACATATAAGCACACAACCAACATACCCATAATAACACCATCAACAAAACTAACCAACCCATCCACTTGTACCGAAGAAATATACAGACTTCTCAAAAACTCATCATACCACCAACATAAATTACTCGTCCAAAAACACAAAACGGAACTGAAAACAAATACTGCAAAACACGAGCATGATTTCAAAAGTGTCAATTCGAAATTTTATTATCTATATATTGCAATTGGCAAAATCTAAAAGAACTTGTATTGCCAATTATGTACATAAATATTATTAAACACACTACTTAAAAAACATTAGAAACATTCATATTTTGTATATTTTATTATATTAATGTAAGTACGTTGATTTCCTTTAACTTTGATATTGATCCTTGTAAAACGAATACAATGTTGACAATATTTATTTACTTGAAACTTAAGCTAAACAAAAAACATCGATCCATCCTCACTTTTTTTTGTGAAAGTGGACATGTTACATGAAACTAAATAATCAAATTCTTAATCACTTCCTCCAAAATGTATTTATTTGAAGTAAATATTTCCATTACTTGGGAGCACCCCCAAATTCCAAGAATTTTTGGTGTAACAAATTTTCCACCACTCCTTTGTTTAATAATTAAATTATTTGGCAATCACACCCAAAGTTACATTACTTTCAAGTGAGTACTATAATAGTCACACCTTTTAATTTGATACCTTAACAGGATAAAGTTAAAATATAAACTAAAGATATTTATGAAGATTTTTCAAAGCTCAGTTTAAGAATCATTTGGTATTGAGAAAATTCGCTATCGATGTGTTTCACTGTAGCTTTGTAAAATTAGGTCACCGCTTAGAATCCCATTTAAAACAAGTTTTTTTTTCTGTTATCATTGATGAAGAAAATTCATGCCACTTGAATAACTTGGGAATTGGTAGAAGTAGAGATCAGGCCGAAAAAAAATGTGAAAATGGAATGTAATGGGGGTATAAAATATGTGGTGTACAGAGGGTTTTCTCTAGAGAGTGCATGGCCATGTTTTGTTGGCCTCGCTTGTAATCACACACATATATTCATATATGCATGTACATTGTACATACCTACATACATATATATATATAAATCGGTGTTTGTGTTAGCGTGTTTTTTTTTTCTAGCAGATTTTTTCACAGTTTGGCAACAGCGCAGCAGCAGCGTTCGACGGCATCTGAAAACTAGGTCATCGGTATAGTGTGCATAGGAGAGTGGCTCCATCTCCCTCTTTGCCCATCCCCATCTCTTTCCCCCCTGCTAGCTCCCTCTCTTTCCCTCATTGGTTGTGCACGAGTGTGTGTGTGTTGCCCACAACCTGTTGCTGCTGTTGTTGTTGTCGTCACTACAGTCAAACTTCTATAAAGTAAAGCCTCATTTCTTATAAGCAAGATATCTTTTGAAATCTAAAAATATTTCAAACTATATTTACTGTTAATTCAAGAGAAGCCCTGAGTAAGAGGAAATCTAGATACTTATGAACCTATTTTAGTTTTAAAATATTTTACAAGATTTTTTCTTTGCATTGTTAAAATAGTTTTAAATTTATTATTTGTATAACTTTAAAAAATTTAAACAATTAGTCTTGACCTCCTAAAGTTCACTTTGACCTCCAACATTAAAAAAAAGCGTAAACACAACAAAAGAAACCCGCGACTCACGCAAAAGAATACTGACCGTCTAGATACTCGATATGAGTAATGGCAATCTTATCAAATCTTAAACTTGAAAACGTAATTCTAATCGTGCGTACATAATCGTTAAAATAGCACGAAAAAGGTATTTAAACGGTTAATGGAGGGCTATTAATTGATTTTTTTGTAGTTGAACTAATTCGCATTGGCAATAAGTGGCTTCCGCCTTCTTTGCAATTGCAATCTAAATCCATAATTGTTAATTATGCATAACAAGAAATCGTTTCAATCGCCCGTACATATTCAAAAGTATATGTATGTTTGTAGAATAGTAGGTCACCGAAACGATTAACTAATTGGTTAGATTTAATTATCAATTAAATAGCAAAAGGCTGTCAATTACTTTAATTTGTGTTCAATGCTAAGTTTGAAATATTTGTGAGCGGGATAAATAGAAAGGACCCATTTTAAAAGGAGTTGTTCAACACTGCTGCTGATGCTGGCAAAAAGCTGATAGCTCTAAAAGAGCGCCGAATTCAAATTAATTTTATAATACCCTCTGGTCACTCTAATATTCAATTTGGTAATGCAAAATCTAAATTATTTGAAATGGGGCGCGCGAAAAACATACAAGAAGGCAATTTATATTAAAGTTGTTTATTTTTCCTACTTACTTTCCTATATTTTTTCCTATGTGTTTGTTATAGTGAGTTCTTACTAATTTTCACCCATTTTCTATTTTTCTCGACAGGCCCAGCAAACGCATGCGAATGCAAATCGCGTGGGAAGCTACCGGGAGCACATGAACAACCTGATGATGAGCGGCAGCAGTCGGCAGCCGTATTCCTACAACAATCCCGCGATCTCCATGTCCTCGGTGAACAACCACAGCGGGGGTGGCGGGAATGCCCCACCTCCCCTCGTTCGCTCGGCGGCGGGCCAGAATGCCAACCACATGTAAGTAGAATGACAGTCCATAGCCTCCTCCTATCGATTGTTTAAAATATCTTCAATCCCCCCACCCCCCCACTACTGTCCTTGAAAAATTTAAAAAAAAAACAAAAAAAAATATTAGAACTTGATGATTCTACATTTGATTTTGCCTTTCCTTATGACTATTTACATTAATTACATTTAGTACGTTGATTTTATTTGAAATCTCGGATACAAATGCGCAGAAATTGTGTTTTTCAAATTTTGTTGTAATTCGTTTTTGCCAATATCAAAACAAAAAAACCTTATACTCTATTTTTTCGCTGTTGTTGTTTTATATTATACATATATAATACACACATTTACTAAGTCGCTCTAAGGGTTGAGTTCTCAATGTCTAGGCTGGAAATGGAAATGCATCTAATGTCATTTTCGAAGCCCCCGAAAGTCGATCGATAAGTTGAAGGACGTGGCGAGCTTATAATTAGCAGTATAATATAATATAATTTAATATATCTTTGAAATAATGCTTAGTAGTCAGTAATATGATTGTGTAAAATGCTGGGTGTAGTGGGGGGAATTGCAGGCTATAGACATTGAGAAATCGCTACTTAGGTCTAATTTGCTCAGCCATTAGGGTGCCACATGATTTTTTGCAATCTCAGGAAAGTCCATATATATTTTTAATAATTTTGTTGTTCTTTCTTTATGCTCTTTCAAAAAAACAAAAAAAAACAAATATTGCACCGATTGTTTTTTCCAATTCTCAATGTTAGATATATGAACCATACCAAAATCGGCGTTTGTGCACGCATTTTATTTGAAGTTTTGATCTGTGTTTTACACCATCTTACAATAAATATACAATATATAATACTCGTTCCTCGCATAAATTCTCTCTGCTCTTTGTTTGTTTGCGATTTGCAATCGAAGTCATGCAACACATTAAGTTAATTACTCTTTTGAACGTCATTTCCCATATAAAAAAAAAATTATTGTTGTTGTGGTCGGAAAGCCAAAAATGGATAAAGTCTGTAATTTTTCCAAATCTTTCAGTGTAGAGCTGATGTTATCGATTTATTTCTTTTCATAACCTAAAAGTTAATTCCAAAATAGATGTTTGATATATATAATATGTTTTTCATAAAGAACTTGCTTTCCAGTTTAAATTCCCTTTCTGGCCAGTAATGTTTGAATATTACTTGGACTAGATTAATTATCGATTTGATTGGGAATTGGATGCCGGGTCCATACAGAATTTGATTTTATGTTTTTCAAAATAATTACCAAACACCAATCAACCATACCACAAAAATCCCCAATTCCCCCTCATAACATTTTCCAAAAAAGACAAAAACAAAATTAAAAAAAAAAAAAAATTAAAAACCTTACTAACCGATTCGAAACGACAACTTTTTGCAAATACTTGACGAGCTTTTGTTCTCTCTTTTTTATTTTCGGGTCTCCAGATTCCTAACCTCTTACGGCATGCATTAGGGTGGCTCAAGAGAGGCTCTCAAAAAAGTAGAGTGAAAAGAATAAGCTATCGGTATCGGAGGCGCGAGACTAAGGTGGAGAATATATCGCTCACATTGGGATTACACGGTTCTACCTACCACCCGATCGATTAACACTACTACCGCCTACTTACTCCATATATAAGTCCAGTAGAACTAAACCCAAAGTACAACACACACACGAACACGCCCACACACACACCCACACACGCATCTGTACATACACATCATGTTGTAGAGTTCTCCTAAATATAGAGCATATAACTCTCAAAATCCGAAAGTATCCCTAGCGATTGCATGACCTCCCCGACTTGATTAAGTAAAAATAAAATGAAAGTAGAACATAAATCTTTATAAACATTATATATATGAAAACGTACATGTATTTGTTTCCTTTTTTTCAATGGAATGATGATGATTTCGTTATAACCTTACTTTGTATATTATTATGATAATACCTTTTCCTTGTTTTGCTCTAAAACTCTTTTTTTTTCTTCTTTGTATGATATAATAATAATTTAATGTTAAAGAGGAACTACAACATATTTTGAAAAACATAAATTCGCATAATAAAAGAGAAAAGAAAACCCGAAATGATTTATCTTTAAAAATATGGTTAAATATATATTTAATATATCTAAATGCAACAAAAAAAACATATCTACATTTATTTAATGGCTGTGTGTACTGACTACCCCTAATGATATCACATGTACACACACACAGATACACCTCAAACTCTCTCACACATACATAAAACACAATACACACACACATACACGTGGTATGACTCACGACTTGTGACGAACGAAAAAGTTAAAAAATATATATGTATTTTTACCTACATATATAAAAAAAAGGGGAAAACGAGGCAGCAGCAGCAACAACAACGAGAACAAGCTTTTATTGGTGGTGGCAGGTTTTTTTTTTAACCCCGTTTGGCCCCACCCACCCCCTCCACCCCCTCTCACATACACACATATAAACACCACTAAAACAAAAAAGATACAAAGTACAAGATACAGTGAAAGATCCTAGATACATTATATATAATGCGTGTACAAAAGTTGAAGTAATAATACTCTTGATGAAAAATGTATGACAATCGATTCTAAAACTTGGCTTAAAAAATAAGAAGAAGAGGATGTAAGGTTAGAATTAAACGGTGCAAAAAATAAACAGAAAAGAGAGAATAAAAGAGCTTTTTTCGAAAGCTTTTTCCTAACCGATTTATACACCTATTGCATTTCATATAAATTTCATAACAACACATTCAAACAATACGAAAAGGGAAATAGTTCAAAAGAGCATTGAGAAATTTTTTTAAAATACTTATGGAAAAATCTAGTTTTCCAACAGTTTTTGTTTTTTTTCAAGAAAGACATAAAGAGCAGAGAGTAAACCACAACAAAATTCATTAATTTACTTCATTAAACCAATGAATACTACAAATCGGGCATATTCAAAAAAACCAACGATAATTGACTATCGCCACCTGGTTTTCTCTCATTTGTTTTCATATCGGCAGCAGTCGAGCGAAAAGGCGCAGGCAATCGATATCCCGATGTCTCCGATATGTTTGAAATCGGCAAAGGCGAGGGCTAAACCGGATGCAGAAGAAGAAGAAGATGAGGCTGAAGAAGATGAAGAAGAAGAGGAGCCAACGAAATTCGAAAAGAACAGAATAAAAATCCAATTCAAATGCATACCAAAAATCAAAAACCAAGAAAATCCCAGTGTTATAAGACTTAGTTAGTTGATGAGGAATTGACAATTACAACAAAATCGATTGAAAAATGCAATAAACGAGTCCTTAAGAAGCAAAAAACAAAAGAAGATATAAGATAATGATATATAAAAATTAAAAAAAAAACAAAAAGACAAATGTAAATAAAAAATCAAAAAACTTAAAACCAAAAAACCAAAAAAAAGGGGCGGTCACCTCGACTTATGTATTGTATATAATGTTTCTAGGTCAAATGTCGAGCAGTCACTGGTGCAACAACAACAGCAACAGACACAACAACAACCGCAACAACAACGACACCAGAACAGCACATTTAACAACAACAACAACCAGAACAACAACCATGCAACACAGCAACAACAACAACACTCTTCACCAAACAACCAGAACAATAATAGCCACCACCATCAGCAACAATTAGCCAAAAGTCTCAGCAGCAACAGGAGCAACATGCAACACAGCAACATGAGCAACAGGAGCAGCAGCAATAGCAGCAACAACAACTCCAATTCAGCGGCTGCTGTGGCCGCTGCAGCTGCTGGATATGTTCAAGCGCTTTTGGGAGGCGGTACAGGAGGAGGCGGAGGCGGAGGAGCAGGGGGCGTGGCTACCGGCGCTGGCGCTGGCAACAACAACAGCAATGCCTTCAACTACAACCTGCCCTCCACGCGAGCCGATTACACCAATCTCGCTCTGTGGAATCAACTGACACCCGCCCAACGTTTGCTCTTCAGTCAGCAACTCAAGGGAGTCACAACATCGCCGGTTTCTAATCCCAGCTCCTCCAGTCATCATCATCCCACCAGCGTCGTCGGCAAGCAGAACTTTCCAGCCCTGCCCTCGCTGCCCCTCGATACGGATTTGATCACCATGCTGGACTATAATAATCCCAATAAGGCGAATAAAAGTCAGAAGAGCGGAAATGTGACCTTTACCAAGCCCATAGTGCCGCCACTGATACCAGATGGTTCGGGAGCGGAAATAACGCTTACGAAGAGTCGGAGAAATGGAGGTTCCGATGGAGGAGCTGTTGCACCCACTAGTGGCACCACCATACCCCTAAATTCCACGCAGGCTCTCGAAGACTTTGAAAAGAAGTTCACCGTGATGACGGATGAAATGCGAGCGGTTATACAAAAGGTTCTGGCCAATCCGGATCTATCGACTTTCATACAAACGAATTCCGGCAGCAATAATAATAGTAATAATAATCACCTGGTGCCTTCCTACATATCGCCACCCATGTCGCCATCGGTGGTGGGCATGAACATGGGCATGGCCATGGGAAATGTGGCGGCCACTCTGACATTGGCCTCCAATCCCAATGTGACGATAACACCGCAGTTGCCGGGACATTTTCTGCATTCACCATCGAGTTCGTGTTCCAGTTCGAGTGCCTCGAATACGGCGGCTTCGCCATTGGGCAGTGGCGGCGGAGGTGGAAGTGGATCAAATGGAGGGGGGGCCACTTCAGGGGGCGTATCATCTTCGTCGGGTCGGCAAAAGAGCGTGATTTGCTCGACCAAAAGCAATAACCTGCCCATGGCCATACTTTCGCTAGCTAGCAATAATAATTCACTGGGGGTTAGCTCAAATTCAAATGCAGGCGGACGAAGGACAAATAGTAGCAATAATAATAACAGTAGTTACGGTCGTCAGACACACAGCCAAAATAGTAGTACACAAAATAGTAGCACACATAGTAGCACCACAGCCACACCCACTGACGTAATCGATCTGTCCTCCTCCCGAAGGTCACTAGCTGCATCCGCAGCCTATTTGCAGCAGCACTCGTCGGCGGTGGCGCAGCAGCAGCAACAGGCGGCAGCGGCCCAGGTGGTGGCCCAGCATCAGCGTCTGGCCGCCGCCGCAGCCCATCATGCCCAGCATGCCCAGCAGAATGGTCGTGGCGGTGGTGGCAGTTCCTCCGGTAACTCTGGCAACTCTGGCGGGAGTAACGCGAATTCTTCAGGCAGCAACGCGAATTCTTCAGGCAGCAACAATGGAACGAGCGGAACGGGCGGTGGATCGACGGGAAATAACGGTAGTTCCAACTCGAACAGCGCCTCCATGCACCTGCAACGCCATGCGGCACTCGTGGCGGCGGCCACGGCGGCGGACAGTGCCCAGCGGTTGTGCGTCATACCCGAAATACCCACCAACAACATGAACCTCACGCCGTACAAGGTGCAGAAGGTGTGCGTCGACAAGCATCTGGTGCCCTGCATCAACATGAAGGCCTACAACGACTCCGAGCAGCTGATGACCCTCATCGAGTTCCAGAAGAACTTCTTCCCCTCGGTGCCGCTGGACCACTGCAAGCGGCTCATCGAGGCCCTCGGTGTGGAGCTCTACAAGGCGAATCGGTGAGTTGGGCATTTATATATAACTAATATTGGGGCTTCCCTAATTAAGTCAAAATCTAAAAATAATTACATTTTTGGTTAATTTACTATTTTGAAAATCTTATCTACACTTTTTAATCTGTTTTTCTGCTTAAAAAGCCAAAGCCGATTTGTCTGTGTTTAGAAACTATAAAAAAAAAGGGTCTAAAAATATCAAAATTAAAATATACATATTTTTGAAAATTCAAATCTATTATTCGAAATTCAATATTCCAACTTTGATGATTTTTTTATGCATAAAAAGTTTACTTCTTTTTTTCTGTAATTAGAAATTGTCAAAAAATTGTCTAAAAATATGAAAATTAAAATAAAATAATTAATATAAGTCAAAATTAAAATATAAATATTTTTGGCAAATTAAATCTATTATCCGAAATTCAATCCTCAAATTTTGATGAATTTTTTTGCTTAAAAAGCTAATTTTAATTTTTCTGCATTTAGAAACTTTCACAAAAATGGTCTAAAAATTAACATTTTAATTTATTAAATATTTTTCCTCATGTAAATCCATTTTTCGCAATTTAATCAACAAATTGTGATGCACTTTTCTGCATAAAAAGTGGTTAGCCACTTGTTTTTGCCTTAGTTTTTGTAATAAACGACGGCTACTTTGTGTGAACGTAATTGATATTGCAATAACGAGGAGGAATATATTAAAAAAGCTGTCAAAGGGATATTAGTTTGGAATGCAGTCAACCAAAAGGCGCAGGCAGATGTCAAGAAAATTTCATATGAATTACTAGGAAAAGCATTAATGAAAATGTTGTCAGTTTTGTGTAAATATAAACATGCGCCACTTTGAATCAAGATAAATAAGCATTTGAATGAGCAAGGATTTCATGGGAAAACTATGAACTGCTTTTCATAAAAAGAAATGGATATTGCAAGTATATAGAAAAAAATTGACAAAAGATCGGATTGATATGCGCTAGTCAATTATATATTTTTTAAAGATTAAGTTATTCATATCATTTTGATGTGAATAAGGTTTAAAATACTACTAAATACTGAATTTGGTATTTTATATGACATGATAAAATATCAAGTTGATATGTTTGAATCATAAATTTGAACATGAAATAATGTAGAATTGATCCTATTTCATATCGAAATACAGAGGTATTTTATTCCTTGATTTCCTTCGACATATTTTAACCCTAACTGATGGCCATCTCTTCTCGATTTTTCCACAGGCGACAGGTGCAAATCCTGATGGAGTACGACCGCAGCTACAACGAGAACATGCCGCTGGTGCAGGTGCGCGACATAATCAAGTACATGACGCAGCTGACCTTCATGACGCGCCAGCCGGAGCAGCCGCCGGCGAAGAGGACGCGCACGAGCTAGGAATTAAGCTGGGGAGCACAACATTTGCCACCAACAACAAGCACAACAGTAACAGCAGCAGCCACAATACCAACCACACAGACAGCAACAAATAGCAGCAATAACACCACAGCAACAGTTCACACAAGATCAACAGCAGCAGCGGCAGGCATTCCGCTGAGGAGACGAGCCCTCACACCGCCGGCAAATGGTGAAGTGCTGACCAGGCGGAGGGCGCTGGCACCACCGCCAGCTCCACCAGTTCCTGCCACGCCACCCGGAACCGCAGGATCTCCGGCCACACCTGCCACACACAACAGCAACACATACGAAATGTTGTACTCCCACAACCACACACAATCGCACCACTCGCACCACCCAACAGCTGCCGCTCAGCAGCACCACCAGCAGCAGCATGAGCAGCAGCGTCTGCTGAAGAAGCGGCAACATGCCGAGCAGACGGCCGCCAAGAATCCCCGCCAAAAGATGGCCGAAGTGGAGCATGCCTACCTATCGAATCTGTATGGCAAGGCGGCGGCCAGCATGCTGAGTCCACCGCTGGGCAATGTCCAGCCCGAATGGGAGCAGCAGAGGCAGCTAAGAAGGAATCAGGCGGCAGCACAACAACAGCAGCAGCCGCAGCAGCAACAGACGGTGGCGCCGCCGCCGCAGCAGCGACATATAATGCATCGCAGGCATAGCGTTTGTGCCGCCGGATTGGCCAGCCTTTCGCCCGCCTCCTCGACGCACTCCTCCTCGACGGCTTCGCCGACGGCGGCCGCAGCTGCCCTGGCTGCCGCCTCCTATTACGGCAGTGCGGCGGCAGCAGCGGCGGCAGCATTTACGGCACCATATCAACACCATCATCATCATCATGCAGCAGCGGCGGCGGCTGCTGCGGCGGCCCATCATCATCATCATCATCATGCGGCAGCAGCAGCAGCGGCGGCGGCAGCGGCGGCAGCTGCAGCGGCGGCCCATCATACCCATGGCCAGCCATCGCCCACCATTTATCCGCCCACTCCGCCGCCATCGGCGCCGTGGGTGCATCCCTGGTATGCCGGCGATGCGGCCTTCTGAGCGAGAGATCATCGTAGATAGAGCATAGATCCTAGAGAGATCCAGATTTAGATCCCCAGGGGCGAGCAACTCAAGCCCCACACTGTACATTCGAGTTTCTAGTTTGTTAAGCTATTTATTAAAAAGGACAAAAGAGAAAAAAAACTAAAAAAACAAATAGAAAAACCTAGAGGGAAGACGAAAAACACACATTTTTTTTGCGCTCGTGTCTGGAGAAGATTAGGTTGTAAGTAGGCTAACTAAAACAATTTCTGGGCATTATATGTCAACTAACCAATAATAATCGATGATATATATATATATATGGACTAGGGCTGCTGGGATTTCGTTTGGTCAAAACATAAAAACAGCAACAGCTAAAGCAACAAACATTTTTAACTGAGAACTCAAAGAACTGATTACATATTATTATCAAAACACACACAGATTCGTTTGATTCGTTTGGAATATCTGATTTCGAAAGTCTTTTTCTAGAAATATTTATATAGAGATATGCTATACATATGTAATATATAGATAAAGAGCCAATAAACTCGTCGTATTGTAAGCAAGAAATTAAATTTCTTGCGTTTCAAAACTATGCAAAACAAAAAAAGAACTAAAGACGCGAACTAAACGAAGGCAGCGCAAACTATTCAAAAAGTGAGTCAAATTTTGTAAGCTAGCAGAAGAAATTCCATTTAATATTCTCATTATCGTCGTCTCATCAATGTCAGAATAATATCATCAGAAAAGTTCCCCATTCGAGCAGCGAAGCATAAATCCTAAGCAACTGTATAATTTAACAATTTCCAAATCTTACAAGTAACATTAAAAGCTACAACTAAAAATTAAAAAAGAAAAAACAAAATGATAAGCTGAGAGGAAGAAAAAAAACACACAAACAAAAACAAAAACCAGAAAACTATGTTAAAAACATACAAAAAAGAAAACATTAAAATTAAAAAATACAAAAAGGAATGAAAAGGAAAACATTATGTTATATACAGTGTATGTATATCGAAAAATATATATGTATGTGTATGAAATACTTGAATATCCGTTTTATGGATTTAAGAACCTTTTTTTTTCCTAGTTATAGTTATTTTTTTGTATTGGCGAAGCGTAAGGATATTTATTTAATACTATGTTGCTAGTGTTGCACTTATAATTTCTCCTTTTCCTTTGCTCTTGTCACTCATTTTAATCCATCTATAGTTCAGTGCTGTTATTAAGTTATCTTGGGCAATTGTTTAAAGGAATTGTAATTTTAAGTCACACACCTACACACACACACACAGACAGAGAGAGAGAACTAAGTAAAATTATGATTATGAACTTTATTATTGTTAGGTTTAAAAGCCGTCAAAGTATTTATCAAAGTGTGTTTTCATTTTTGACAGTGCAGCAAAAAACTAAAAGCATAACGGAAAATAAAGAAATGAAGCAAAACTAAACAGAATCAATATGGAAAATGGTGTTATTATTTATTTTTGGGGGATATTTAAAAGTGGCGCCCTGCTTTTTGACTACCAACTTGGCGGAAAGCTCGCTGTAGAGCTTTTTTTGGAGCCTGACTTGGATCCGGAGTGGAGCTTTTAAGGATTAGTGATGTCTGTACTGTAAAGTAAAGGAAATAGCTTTTAAAATGTTATATTATTTAATTTTATAAATATTTTGAATAACGCTGGCATTGTTTTATAAACCTACCGATAAATTTGACTGTTTTAAATCCTGAATTTTAAAATTTAATATGTACCGTTAGTAAAAAAGCTCTCAAAAGAGCTTAAAGCTTTAGCAAATTGAATGCCGTTAAACTGTAGATCTTTGAAAAATCCTTAATAACCATAAAAGCACCTAAAAAAGGAGAGATACAAAAGTTATATGCCGCGTGATATTAAAATGGGAGGCATCTGCCCACAGCAATGTTCTTGTCAAATGAAGTGCAACATTTTTTGTGAGGCCCCTACTCTCTTTCCCCATCCCGTGGAAAATTCAGGACAAATTGCATGAAAACCGTGTACGCGTGCATGAGCAATAAAATACTTTGGGGACCAAACTGTGCGGAAAAACTGCAACGGACCAAAACAATGGCAGCAGCAGCGACACGAATGAAGTTTAAGGGAATTTCCACTGTAAGCGCAAGATAAACATGACCCTTGGGAGGAGGCAAATTGGGGTGGTGGTGGGTGGTGCAACTTTGGTCCACCCCATCCGCTGCTGCTGCTGCCAGTTTGTGCCGCGTGTGTCCTGCGAGTCCTGGGCGAGTAAACAAACGCACATGGCTGGCAGGCAGCGGGACAACTGTACAGGCTGGACAGGATGTTCTACAATAATTGATGAGTGCCCCGAACGGAGGATACCCTCTAAGTTAAGTCTCTAAATTAGTAATATCAAAAATGGTATTTCTAATTTTTAAAAATTATTATATTTCAATATTGTATTTTTTCTTAATATTTTTAAATGATTATAGTAATGAAACCTAGTGACTTTTATAATGGGAATTTAAAAATGTAGCTTTCACGCCCCGTTCGTCGTCATTTATTCGACCCCGCCCACTCCTACACACACACACACACACATGTTGACTTTCCGCCATATTCCGTTGCATTGGGGAAAAAAGTTGATCCTTTCGGTTACCATCGTCCTTTTCCCCCGATCCTGTTGCCCATTGCCAAAAGCGAAAAGTGTAATTCCCGCAAATAAAACATGGTAACCGCCATGCAAACAAAGCAGCCAACCAACAACAGAAACAATAGCAAAACAGAAAAAAAAACAGAATGAAAAACGAAAAACGGCGGACAGAAATTTGTTTAAAAATATTTATGAAATATACACAAATTGTTTATGAAGTAAAACCGCAAACGTTTCATTTCGTTGGCAGGTCAGGGCCTCTGGGAAACTCGGAAATCCGATATGTCCACTAGAGGTCTGCATGAATGCATTTAAACTGACAAATGAATCACTCATTCTTAAAACTTGTATAAGTTTTTCTGTATTCATTACTTTAAATATGAGTGAATGCAGTACTTGTGACTGTATTGCCAAATACTGTACTCACTTTTCCAGACACAGTACAGTTTATTGTGAATACAGTGTTTTTGGTGTACAATAACTTATTGTACAGTGAATGAAGTTTTCCCAAAATTACAAGGCCTACTGAATTTATAAAATTTTAAAGCTTGCTTATTTCTTTGTAATATTGTAATCTATCCACTAGCAGAATAACTTAAAACCTAATGAAAGAGACGAAGTGTCGTTAGTCATAAAATATTGAGGGATTTATTAATACATTAATCGCTATTTAAGACATTTTCATTAATGCTGTCTATATTGGAGTTTAATTATTTTGTTGACCATGTCTTCAGTCGAAGCAATTTTGTAACGCTTTGCGGAAATTCGATTTTTTGCAATAGAAAACAAGCAAAGAAATAATATCGCACTCGGTATTCGTATTATTAGGCAAATCCATTCTCCGATTTAGCTACCGACAACTCTCACACTTTTTTTTCTACTCAGAGTACAGTACTATACAATAGTAATTGAGACGACACTCATAGTATTTTTCAAATTGAGAAGCATACACATAGTACTAAAAAAGTGTTGCAACTCTAAAATAGTGTACTCAGTTAAAATCGGTATTGTGGGTACTCTGTACAATATTGTATGAGTACACTAAATGTGAGTACCGTATACAGCTGTACAGTACTGTAAGTTTTGAAATTAATACATTCATGCAGGCCTTTAATGTCCACCTCCTTTAGGGTCGAAAATGGATGGGGTTTTCTGGTGAGGCAAGCGATTTGACAGAGGCTAAAAATATTAATAAATAATAATATTCGCTGTTAAATTTATCTTTTAACTTAAAAATATGTTTTATTTAAATTAAAATTGGCCACAGTGCGTATACGTAATATTTACGAAGGAAATGCTTTAAATTAAGTATACGCCACTTAAGCCAAACATTTATTTATATTATAATCTTTAACATCTTTAACATTCAAATA